GATGAGAGTAACGGATGGAAAACACAAATATCTTCACTCCGTCACTATCATTTTGCCGGTCTGGCCAAATGCACTGGATGTACACCAACTGATCCCTGAACGCGATTCGCAAAAGCGTTTCACTTTGGAGGGTTTTCCGCCGTGTGTACTGTGGTCGCTATCCAGTCGGCACAGAGCCTACCACAATGCTAAGCAGATGGACACTTGTGACGCCCTCGGTCGCCTCTTACGACCCCCACGGGCATGTATGGGGAGGCGACAATGTATTCTTAAGCCGTCGCCCCACGGCTTATTATAATTTCCACAAAGATTCTATTTTGAAGATCTTTCTACTGAAATTATCCTATCGTACGTGGTAGACACTGTACTACTCATGTTATGACGAGTACAGCGGTACTTCTCATAACATAGGGTAGATCGTATTGTTTTCACCATCACGGAACATAAAGAAAGTTAACTTTCTCTGTGCTGGCTTTTCACTTATGGTTGTTTACACGGCCAAGGCGACGGAATAACATAAATATCTTAATACCCCTACTGTTAAACCGAGATATTGACAAAATTGTTACGATGAATCTAAAGCTGGTCACTTACTTACGTGCGCTGTACGTACGCAAAAGTGCTGTACTGAAGCGTCTTAAAAAAACAGTGTTTATTTCGAAGTTTAATGTACGCATTTTTTGTTTAACAGCAGGCGCTGTATCAGGAGGCGGGCAATGGACGCGAGCGCCACCAGCACCTCCACCAGGTGTAGTCGGCGTCGGCGGCAATGTAGGCCTTGGGGCCGTTGCGGCCACCGGCACACGAGGTCGAAGAGCCAATACACAACGACACTCACCCGCTGCAGCCGCTGCTATGCAAATGCCGCATGCGGGGCTGTCCGCAGCGGCGGTACAAGCTTTGGCCAACGGGTGGAGTCTACCTGGACAATTGACGCAAGCGCAGACACAGCAGGTGCTACGGCTAGCGCAGGTATGTCTTGTCTAATATTTGAAATCATTCATTCTTATTTCACTCAACAAAATGCTAATGAAAACCGTTTTCAAACTTCGTCTCTATTGGTCACCTAGCAAGCAGGATAGTCGCAGGATAGTAGGTAGTATAGTGATATTCCTATAGTAGCCACGTGGGCCGTGGTTTAGCGCACATGGCTGCGTTTATCTCTGCCAGAATGATAACAAGAAATAAAGGTTTTTCAATTACCGAAACCCCGCCGTAAACCGTTTGTTTAGTGATTTAGATATCCGGTTAATAATTTGAGATTTCTACGATCTAATTTAGACTGGGCTATGAAGAGTTGCAATTCGAGTATTTAAACTATTTAGAGAAGAACGGATAAGCTTAGCATTGTTGTAGGACCATTGTGTAGGGCAATTAAAATTTGCATTGATATAGTGGTGGTGATTGTTTGTATTATTACACTCCCACTATAGCCTATAGCTCTCAAAGTGGATATGAGCTAAGAATTGCTGTGATTTCGAATACTAACATGACATGTGATGAAAGGGATAGAGTCTCAGCATATTGTTGTTTTTCAGCCACCGCCGGTGATGTCTGTCGGACACTGTCGGGACATGACAATTAAATCTAATTAAGGAACTTCATTTTCATTTTTTTAGCCCTTACTATCCATTTCCCTCCTCCAATCTTCGCTACGCTGCCGCTACAGGCGAACATCTCATGTGAGCAGCTAGCTCGTCACACCACCTCCATATGACTTAAAAATGGAGATGCATCTTCCCATTTCTATATTCGAGGAAACTCTAATCAACCCGAAAACATAATGATTATATAACAGTATCTTGATATACTACGTTTTTGTGTGCAGGCGCAGGTGGCTGCGCAGGCGCAGGCCGCGGCGCGGTACAGCAACGCGGTGGCGGCCGCCGCCGCCGCTTCGCTGCCGCACCGGTCGCAGCACCAACGGAACTCACAGGTCAGTGCGTTCCCTACCTTAGAATGAGCTTGTTATTAAGTCAGCACGATTCAGCACATGACCGTGCTAAAATGTTTTTAATGTTATGCACGGTATTCATCAGGCGCTAATTTGGTGGCTATTACAGTATGTGTTTGAGTGGCTTCGTAGCCACTGCTCATTTTTATGTTTCATGAAGTTCTGGTGTATTAAGATGCCAACTAGCAACAGATATCATTGTTTAGGTTCTATATTTCCCTTCGACAGAGTGTAAGTTTAATGACTATAATGATTTATTACAGTTTGTGTCAAATAGCATGGCAATAGCGATCACTCACCCTACTTTCATCCCGAACACATAATTCGCAGCGACTGATCGCCGATTCCCTACGCAATTGTCGCAATTTTGGCATCGCGTGATTAACATAATAAAAGTCGGTGATGTAACTTAACAAATAAATGAAATTGAGGCATGTCACTATGTTATGCTCAGGGGGTCTACTCTCGATCTCCGCCCGACATCCGTCCGAAACAATTACTGCCAAATAAGCACTACTTGACTAAATGAAAAGACGCGTAATTGAGCTTCATTCTTGATACTGGTCTTTTAATTTTGTCGAATATTACTTATTTGACATTAATTGTTTCGGGCGGATGTCGGACGGAGATCGAGAGTAGACCCCCAGGTCACACAGAGGCGGCTGCCGATAAATACAGTTTCTTTAGCTTAATAATTTCATAAATATAAAATACTTCAATTTCCTTTTGGCAGGTATAAAAATACTACAGACGTCTAAAAAAAAAGCTTTTTTCCCCCCACTTTTTACGCCAGATCTTTGGGCCATTTTCATTTACATCTATTAAACTGTATTCCGTGTGGGAGTGCGCTTGCATTCGGTCGAGTTTCGGAAATATTCACGTTATAAATTTGGTATTTTGTTTTGTTACTTAGGGTGTTGTGTTGTGTACTTAGGGATTAGGATGTACTTAGGTTTGATTTGCTTTATTAATTTGCTTTGCTGTTCTGTTTTGTTTTGACGATTTTTTATTCACTGCATCCTTATTAGTTACTCAATTAAACGAAGACCAAAACATACAACCTGAATTAGTGGCATCTAAATGTCGTCGCCGTGTCAATATATTCGTCGGATTGACCACAACATTGAGGAACAGTACACTAATTTCATAATAAATATAAGCAACAGCGACTCTCTGGAATCGGATCCTGAAAATGACGGTTTTGTATAATATTAACATTATATTATTGCGTTTTTTATTATATACATACTTAAAAAAAATGAAGATATTATATATATTTCATCAATATGTTTCCTTACTATGAAACTATTTAAATGTTTATAACCCCCGACGTCATCTGTACGTCAAAGTGACCTCTATCACGATACGCTCTGACGATAATTTCGCACGTTACTAGGAACATTGGAGAGTATCGTTTTCGCAAATGACGTATACAGTGCAGTGGTAGGAAGGGGTGATTGATCGCTAATGCCATGTTATTTGACACAAACTATAGATACGCTGTGGAGAATTTGTCATGACGAAGATTCAAACAATTCGTCAATAGAATATTTATAAATAATAATTTTGAGTTAATTTATACAAAAAAACTTTATCAACATACCATAATATCAAAGGGCATTTCACTTCAGTTAACGCGCTGCTTTTCGGAAATAGTGGCCCGAACAAAAATAGTTTCTTTTTTGACTTACTGAGATTTAAATGATTGGCACTAATTTCACGCTTCTTACCACGGTATGACCATGTCATGTTGAGAAAATAAAAGAAGTCATACCGTGGAAAGAAGCCTGAAATTAGTAATAATCATTTAGTGAATAACCACGAAAGCCTTAAAATCTATATTACTGAGATTTGTTTAGAAAATGCTAAATTTTATTGGGAATGGGACACCGAACTTTTCAGTTTTCTACGATATGTAAAATTTGCTCGGCAAATGTTTAAAACCATTGAAATCGATTATTTGAGATACGCGACTATTCTAGAAAGCCATCGAATTGTTGCTAGCGATCGTGTTAAAATCTTCACAATTTTGTATGGTACAATTTACCAGCCCTAGCGGTCCAAAGAGGTATTATATTTTTGTATGCAAATATTTTACACGGTCGCTTGCAGCCACTGGCACTGTAAACTCATGAATTGAGATTACACTGATCATTGTAAAATTCTTCATTATTTTTTAAGACAAAATGTACAACGCTCCTAGTGGTTCAAAGAAGTACTCAATGTTCTTGTATAAAAAAATTACACTGACGCTTGCGACAACTGTCACTGTAAACTCATACAACTGTGAATCTGGACAATGACACCTGTTGCAAATTAATAGAAAATGTAACCCTAGAACATCGAGTATATAACCAGAAATAGAGGCGAAATAATGGCAATTCATCCCTGACAACTCATCAGGTCTTATATCACTTTTAAATATCAACTCTCGTTTGCGCTGAAATCACAAATTAGAAAACTGAAATAGTACAGCGCCAACAACTGACCTGTGTGTACGTCTCCATATTCCACAAATGTTCTGTATTTATTGTAATAAAAATAATATCTCTAAAATGGGGGCTGTTCCATTCGGTGGTGTGGGAAAACAGCAAAACATCTAGTTGCAAAACAAATGGGATCACATTTCATCGGTAATTAAATATGTAATTTTGCAATTTTCGTCCATTATTACAAAGCTGAAGTAAAACTGGTCGACTTGAAGTGAAACAATTGACGACACCCGTCAATTGTTTCGAATTCGGGCTGGCCAATCGAGCGCAGTTGTCACAGTAATGATTAGGCAGAATAGTTTTAAACAAATTAATAAATTAATTTCGTCTCTATTTCTGGTTATATACTCGATGCCCTAGAAACAACCAGCGTGGAATGTAAAACCAGCGGACAGCGCCTCAGCATTTTCGCCTCAAAAATGACACGCAACACCAAAACCAAGCCTAAAGGCTGGCGCGGATGTCGACTTGAACTGGCTATTGCCTTGATTTGTTACGTCAACTAGTTTATACGCGTGCGGGTCTCGTTTTACGCATCGAAATTACAATATTGGTGTACTATTATGAAATAAAACTTAGTTATGCGGACAAAAAGGTTAAACTCTCAGTATTGCAAATTTTCAGTCTCACCTGTAGCTATTACTTGCTGCACTAAGTCAATGAGTGGAGTGTTGATACCTACATTAAATAATAAAAAGCTGTCAGTATAAAAAGTCTTTTTCATTCAATTTAAAATTTAATTCTGTTAAACTGGGGACCAGTTGTTACTACAGTCTATTCAGACGGGCCATTCCTTAAATATTTCGTTTAAAAAAAGTAAATAATGTTTCCTTTTATACTCCGTCCAACCATTTATTTAACTTTTGATACCTCGAATTCTAATCAATTAGTGATTTATAACAATCGATTTTATGAGAGATATAAATAGAGATATTTTCTGATTGGGATCGTGAAGAATTAATAATTAATGTTAATGAGGATTCAAGTGATGTGATGTGATTTTATATTATTATTTATAATTTATTTCATTTCATTATAATTTATTAGACAGGTATCGAAATTTATCAACTTGAATAATCTCGTTACATAATCTGTAGGTAAATAAAATCTTTTTTATACGTGATTAAGTCCCGAATTAAAAATCAAATAATATAATCTGCAGGCTCGATAAATATTGGAGATAAAGAACACGTCGCTTCACTAAAATTACAAAATAAAAGAGTCCAGGAAGTATTACATTTTTTTATTATGGTTGTATGTCAATAATTATGGAACTTCGGAGGCATGCATATGTCAAAAGTTAAATAAATGGTCGTACGGAGTATAGGCAATGTAAGTGCGGTTGCATGGGACTGTAATTATCTGTATTTAATTTAGGCGGGGCTCTGTATGTATATAATTGAATGTGTGTGTCAGTTATTTCTTGAACATGGCAGGCTGTAAAATAGTAGAAGTATCAGTAGCGCTGTAAAACAGTTTTGCTGTTCTACAGATCTTTTTTATTGCCACCACTATTGCCTGATACGTAAATCTTGTGTGTAATGCAGATTATACAGTGTGTCCGGGGATGTAATACAAAAATATACTGTACTAGTTCAATTGCGCAGGGGTCGTTTTATTCAAAGTCATAGGAGTAGAGTGATAATTGTTAAAAACTAACAATAAAGTACAAAAAATAACTATGTTAATGTCCTTGTTTTCGTAGTACCTTTGAAAAACTAGGAAAATTGGAAATTTGTTTCTTTAATCATCCCGTTCTTATTAGCACAAAATGTACTAGAATTTTGTTATTTTAGGTAGTTAATGTTCTTAGTTTTCAAATCACATCAAAATGTAGCCTGACGGAATCTGTGAACCCATCTCGCAGGCGTTTAAGTAGGCAAGGGTAATTTTCTCCAAATAAAAATTAAAGTAGCTGTATTTTGAAGGGTACGGACTCTCATATGGGGGTGTTTGTGTCGATGAAATTGACCATTTAATGTTTTTACACTACGTCCCCTGACACACTGTATTTATTATTGATGTGTTGATATAATTCAACAACCTTATTATAATTATGTATATGTATGTATATTCCATTTGCCTTTAAATTTTCAGTACCTGAAAATGTTTTCAATGTATTTTGTACTAATAAAAAATATATATTCCATGAGTGTGTATCGTAGTTGAATGATTGTGTAAGTGTAAAGTGTGTGTTGTCCTATTGCAGTTTCCAAATAACGCGATCACGATGTCGATGGGTCAGCAGCCCCCCCCGCTCCTCGTGCGCAGCTCCGCCAACACTACCACTATGAAGTGAGCATCACCTGTTAGCATTGTCCTAATACCTCACTTACATGTATCAACATCATCAATCCGTAAAAAGGCCGTAGTCCGGCCACGCTCGGCCAATGCGGGTTGCGGACATTCGTTTTCAGGGGTTGTGAACCTTCTTCGACATGCAAGTTTCATCGCAATGTATTGCTTCACCTTTAACAAGAATTATTGCTAATAAACAATCACAATGTAATTAGAAATTAAAAGCCATAGGTACATGACGCGAGAGGTATTCGAATCATTGACGTTTCTCTCCACTGGGCTACCATCGCACTTACATCCGACATCTGATTATTGCCGGTCCTATGTAGAAATAGATAAATCCATTTGTATATTATATTTCTGACAAGAGATTTCAGATTTCAACATGCACGCCTGTTTGGATTTTGCAATGTTCATCTGACTTTTAAAAACTTCCATCTAGTTGAGATATGATCGAAATAAATTTTTGTACAATTCAATACAATGCTGTCCTTATTGCATACAAGAACAAATTAAAAAATAGATAAAACACTAAACGCAAGCTACAACAAACTGCTTTATTTCTGAATAGCAATCTCTTTTAAACAACCATCATTTTTAATTCTGGGCCCCTAATAAAAAAAGTTTGCACACCCCTGGTCTAGCTTGAGATCTGGTTTGGAGTGGTTACACATTTCTGCCACGTTAGATTTAACACATCTGTAATAAATACAAAAGTTGAAAACGTCCTGAAGATGATGGCGCCAGCAATGAAAATTATCACAACTGTGATAAATAATATCGACATACTGTTATGCTATCTATTGCCTGTATACTTCCAGTTTACATTGTGCGTCAGATCTTAAAATAACTGACTAAGTTCCATATAAAGAAAAAGTGCCTTTTGCACACTTGGAATTACGAAATAGAGGTCAAGGCGAGCTTCATTGCCGTTACGCTTTTGATAGACTTTTTCGAACGTCTGACGTCGTTGGTCCTATGGACAAAATGGAACCAGTGTCTCCACCATGAGGCTACAATGACAGTTGTCAGTGGCAGTAACTCCGATGAAGACATAAACAATCCGTCAATACAATAATCGTTATTTATAGTTTTTGTCAGGGTTCGAAATGAACATCTTGATAATATTATTTTCTTTGATCCGTGTGAAAAACATTTTATGAAATTTGACCAACTTCTGCTCCCCGGATTTATTTCGTCCCATACAATGAAATGATTTTTACATAATTGAGTCAATCGCACAAAAAAAAAATTAGATCAATTTTATTCATTTTTCTGGAGCTTACGCTTGACCAAAAAATTTACTATGCCAAAATTGTTTTCACAAAAAAGACTTAATTTTTTCGTAAGACAGTTTCCTTATATCTTCTATGGTTTCGGATTTCCTCATACCTCTGTAAATCCGAAAATTACCCATGCTCATACATCGTTGTCTGTTTAGTTTTTAACCGATTTCAAAAAAGGAGGAGGTGCTCAATTCGACCGTACGTTTTTTTGTGTGTATGTTACGCGATAACTCCAGGAAAATTTGTGAACCGATTTTGATGCTTCTTTTTTGTTGGAAACAGGGTACCTTGGCAGTGGTCCCATTTAAATTTAAAGAAAATATTCCACCTCTAAGGATGGCAAACTAGGGGATGAATGACTTTTAAGGTCGGTTTTTTATGGACTGAAAATTACAAACAGTGAGAAAATCTAAATAAACTCGAAGGAAAATCTTTGGGAATGCAAATTAATACCAATTGACATTTGACAAGTTTGGATACGTCTCTGATGCAAAACACATGACACGACATTGACATAGCGGTAGCATTTTGTTGTTCCAATTAATTTTATAAATATTAAGATACTTAATTATCAAGGCAATTAATGTTTTCGAACCCTGCTTTTTACAGATGCAACGTAAAAAACAACGATTATCCCTTACCACTTAATTTATACAAAGAAACTCGAGAAGTGATGTGTGCCTTTACAACAACTTTACAGTGACAGTTTTCGCTAGTGACAACGTAAAATACTAGACCACGGCACAAAAAAAACGAGGATATAAGTTAATATTCACAAACGTTAGTTTAAAATTTAAATGCTATTAGCATTTAAATAAATAA